TTTATTTATTTATTTATTTATACTGGGGATTGAACTCAGGACCTTGCATTTGCCTGGCAAGCACTTATTCTACTGAGCTATCTGCCTAGTTCAACATTCTTTTTAAAAGGTCATCCAGAGAAGGATATCCTGGAACTTCTATGAGAGATGGAACAACTTGGGTCCTTCTTCAGCACATCATCTCTTCTTTTCACTTTCAGGTTTAACCATCACATGTCTCACTATGCTCTTCGGGGCCAGATCATGGCATACTGCAATAGCCTGAGAGCTCTGCTGGAAGATTTTCCTGTTATCAAGGATACCTTCTTCATGTTCGGCCAACCACAAGAAAAGAAGGGATCGAAGGATTTCAAAGAGGGCCTCAAGGCTGACCCTAGGTGTGTAATGTCTTTTAGATTGCGTTGCTCTGCCCTACCTCTCAACAGGAAGAGCTGTGTTAAGTTTAGTATGAAAATGTTTGCTGATATAGTTTGAATTTTTTTTTTTTTTAAGTATTTGGTACAGAGTCTCACTATGCAGCTTGGACGCATAGTGATCCTGCTATTTTCAATCTGCCCAGTGCTCGGATTACAGGCGTGAGCCACCATGCCTGACTCAGTCACCAACTCAGCGTACCTGGGGGCAGGGCCAGCGCAGCATGTGGTGCTAGGGATCAAACGCTGGCCCCCTGTACTTGCCTAAGCAGGTGCTTAGTCTGCTGAGCTATCTCACCGGCCCTATAGTTTGAATCTTAAGTATTCTGAAAAGTCTATGTGATAAAGGCCTGTTCCTCAGGATTGCACTGTTGAGAGGTAGTAGAGCATTTAAGAGGTGAGCCCTAGTGGAAGGTATTTAGGTCACTGCAGTTGTGCCCCTGAGGAAGGTTTGGGGTTCTGGTCTCTTCCTATCTTTCACTTCTGGTCCCTGACGTGAGTGGTGTTGCTCCAACAGATACTCCCACCATAATACACTGCCTCACCCAAAGTAACTAGGTCAACTGATCATGGACTGAACCCTCTAAAACCGCGAGCCAGAATAAAGTTTTTTTTTCTCTATCATTGGCTACCCTAGGTATTAGCTAGGGTAACAGAAATCTGACCACTGTGCTTTGCCCTCCCCCCCCCCATACTGTACTTGACATTGATCTTCTGGCATAGAAGGGCAAAAGGAAAAATAAACACTCCAAGAATAATAGCGTCTTTGTTTTTGAACCTAAAATGAGTTCTGGTTCATAGGTTATCTGCTTTGGTGTTTTTGGTTTTTTTTCAGGTGATGCAGTTTTTTCTCCCTGGGGGACCTCAAGGATTTTCATCACTCACAACCTTTCATATAAACTAGAATCTAAAATAAATAAGCTTGATTGTGAGCTGTCCAAACCAAATATTCTATTCATAGAGTAGAAGAAATATTAAGGAGAAAAAGTCCTGATAAATCAGTGTCTTAAGTAGTGTCCTATTTTTCTCTGATTAGATATAGATGATGAAGGCGATGTTGATGTCAACATAGATGTAAATAGATATAGTGATAAGAGAAGAGCTGCCTCTGTACTTCCATAGCATGCTTTGTCTAGTTTTCCAAATGTTCTTGTTTCCAATCTACCTGGAGTTCACCCATCTAGCTGGGGGAGTTAACATGCCCATGTGGTACTAATCACATTTCCTTTTTTAAAAGGGGGAATATAGGGCCTGGGAAGATAGCTCAGAGGTATAAGCACCTACCTGGCAAGCACAAGGACCTGAGTTCAATCCCCAGCCTTGCATGCTATGCCTGCCACAGAACCCTGGATACTCTGTCCTGGCCCTAGGTTCCCTGGGTGCTCCATGCTGGCCTGGAATTGGGAGTGGTGGCACACTCCTGTAATCCCAGCACTTGGGAGGCTGAGTTAGGAGGATTGCTGTGAATTTGAGATGAGCCTGGGGGCTACAAAAGGGAATACAAAACCAGCCCAAACTGCATAAGGAGACTCTGTCTAAAACAAAATAAAATATAAATAAATAAAAGGGGGATGTGGTGGTGTATAGCTGAGTAGCAAGTGAGCAAAGAGGAAAGAAGTACCTGTAGTGGGAGCTTGCCTCCCCTGCTTAATTTTTCTTTATAACAGAGTTTCAGCAACAGTAATACTTTATTTATGTTTCTATTTATTTTTGGCAGCACCAAGAATTGAACTCAGGACCTTGTACCTGCCAGGCAGGCACTTATGCCACTGAGCTATCTCCTTAGCTCCAGTAATACTTTCCAAAGATATGATCATAGACTGGAAAAATGGAAGAGAACTAGAAGGTCATTTGTACCCTATCACCCTTTCACTCATCCATTCATGCATGCATGTACTACACAGCTAACATTTATTCAGTGTTTACCAAGCATCAGGGACTTAGCTACATGCTAGAGTTTCAAAAGTGAGTAAGTCATTGACAATAAAGTCAGTCTAATAGGGAAGCTCTGTAAACAAACAAGTCACTTTTCATGCTCCATGTTAGAGGGGTGTGGGGAGCCCTAAGAGGGAACAAAGGTGGTAAGGGAATGTTTCATTGTACCCCAGGGCCTCAGGGAGAAACTCAGAGAAGAGATGAAAGGAAAGTTACAGTTAAAAAGAGTTAAAGTTAGAGTTTCCCCAAGAAAATGGGATGATAGAGGATAGAGAATGGAAGAGGTCAAAGTCCTTAACTGATAAGTGACCATGAGAAGAGCGACCTGTCCTGCTCGACGTATGGGTCCTAGTGTTTATTTTAGGAGCTCATCCAGTGCTTTCATTTGGGAAGACTTTGGGATTTACTTAAATAAAGCACTTGAGAAAATAGGGGGACAAAGGCAATTCAGTGGTTTTTCCTGATGAAGGGGTTGCCTGGACAACTTCACCTCAGTGAGGCAGGAATGCTCCATTCTCCGACAGGAGTATCACAGGAGAATCTTCTAAGACTTCTTACCGCTATTATTTTATTACCCTCTACCCAGGTTGACTGCTTATAAACCCAATCTACATTTGGGATTATACTTTAAAAGTTTTATCCGTAAATCTACCCCTGAATTTACTACATTTGCGTTTAGGATAAACTGTGCTCAGGACATCTGTTTTATTTCCTGCCTGCTTCCTTTGGAATTAAAGAGGTCTGGATGTGAATGAGAGGACATATCTTTCTACCTTACAGTTTTTACTCTTTTCCCCTAGTTTCATGTAGCTAACTATGTTTCCTAAAGATTAAGAAAATAGTCATCGAAGCTAGAGAGTCTGGATTCCCTGAATTGCCTGGTTGGTTAATGTGGGAGAAATTCAGGGTAGTGTTTTGGACCAAGAAGATATAAACAATGTGCCCATGTCACAGAGTTCTGCAGGGGATGATCTCTGGTTGATAGAGATTCAGTTTCTTCTCCTAAACTTTCTAGCTATCAGTTGTTCCTTTTAACACATTCATTTATAGGAATATGGAGAAACAAACTTCTGTCTTATGTGACAGTTTGGAAAAAAGTACCTGTCCAAGATTGTTTCTAACTCTAAATTCTGTGGTTAGGGCTGGCCAGATAACTCAGCAAACTAAAGCACCTGCTTAGGCAGACACAGGAGCCTGGGGTTCAATCCCTGGCCTATCGTTCCAGCCCCATCCCTGGGGCACGCTGAAATGGTGATTGAGACTGGGTGTGGTGGTGCCCACCTGTAATCCCAGCACTTGGGAGGCTGAAAAATAGGAAGGATCACTACAAGTCCAATCTGTGTTGTGAGACCCTATAGACCCTGTACTAAGTACATAAAAAATAAATAAATAAAATATAAATAAATAAATTCTGTGGTTCCACACAAGGAACACTTACAGATAAAAACATCAGTGCATTGGTCAGTGTTCTATAACTGTAGCAAAACACTGGGAGGAAGATAATTTCACATTTATTACATTTTAATCCAGAAGTTTATTTAGCTCATGGTTTTGGAGGTTCACAGTCTGTAACCAGCATCAGCTCAGCTCTGGTGAGACCCTGCTTGACTGCATTACATCACAGTGTGTGTGCACCTATAAGGAAGAAGTTACATTTTAAAAAACTCAGGAAGGGCTGCAGATATAGCTCAGTGGCACAGTGCCTGCCTCGCAGGCATGGGGTCATGAGTTTGATTCCTGGTGCAAAAACAAAAACAAAAAAACCAAATAAACAAACAAAAAAAAAAAAAAACCTGGAAGGCAGAAAGATCCTGTGGTCCTACAGTCTCTCTCAAGAGCACGTCCCCAGCTACCCCTCACCTGAGCACCTTCCATTGGCCTCAACTCCTACACGTCCTACCGCTTCCCACTGGCACCAGCCTGGGTACCAAGCCTCCAACGCACGAGCCCTTGGAGAGACTTTAGCCAAATCCACACAACAACCAGTCACAACAATCTGCAGCAGAGAAGGCCACAACTGGGAATTAGAATATTTGGACTTTTACCTGGCTTCGTCAAATGTTACCTTGAGGTCTTAGGCACATTGCTAACTTTCAACCTCTGGACTTCTGTCTCTCTTCATGCATGAGGAAATTGAAGCAGCTGTCTGAAGTTAAACATGTTGTAATTCTTAGAGCTAAGGAGCCTCGCACATAATTTCAGGAAATAGAACTACCGGGGAAAGATACCACAGAAAGGAGTCATTTCAATGACTTCCTGTAAAATATTAAGTGGGAATCATCCAGGCAAAGTTAACCAGAGATAAAGGAAGAGAGCTGAGAAATGAGTGGCATGGAGCAAAGCAGTCCTCATCACTCACAAAATAGGGGATCGGTTCTACTGAGAATAAGAGGCGAGCTTTGCTTTAATTCTCAGTTCCAACAATCTATGAGCTGCCAGCTAAGGATTCTGAGACATCGCGAGTTTGTGAGAGTGTCATAAGTTATTGGCAATATTTGCTACAGTTAGGGAAAGGGAAAAATGTAACCTCCCTCTCAATAGTTGCCATCCCCTGACTAGAAAACCCCATAAATTCTGTAGGTTTAAGATTCGAAGAAGCAGGGCTGAGGGTGTGGCTTAGTAGTAGAGCTGTTGCCTTGCATGTGCAAAGCTCTGGGTTTGATCCCCAGCAACACACACACACACACACACACACACACACACACACACACACTTCCAAGAAACAATTTAATGTTTCAATAACTGCTATGC